TTCATCTTGCCTTTGCACAATTCAAGGTTGCCTTCCTAAGGCTAAATAAGATTACCACACTAAGTGTTTATCTCATTCTCAAACCCCATATGGGAATCTTATATTCCTGGAGCGTTCTAGAGTGGCAAAAAAGAGAAATCCAGGACAGAATGCTTGATTTTTTGTAGTTGTTTCTGGAAGAATTTGCAATTGTTCTCAAGTTTTCATTCAGAACTTGCTGTTGACTTTTGGTTTTGTGGTTCAGATGGGGAAGCTGAAAAGACTCATTCAACCTAGGGACATTACCATAAACATTGGAAAGGATGCCCCAATTCCCGAATGCCCTATCCCTGGTGAAAGGTGGTTGTTTCTGCCATAATTTTATTGGAAAATAGGAACAAAGTTGTGTCTCTGTTTTAAGATTTTTAATAAATTAACTTTACAAATATTTGATCTCTGCAGATGGAAAGAAATAAGGCATGACAACACAGTTACATGGCTTGCTTTTTGGAATGATCCAATCAACCCAAAGGAATTCAAATACGTGTTCTTGGCAGCTAGCAGTTCTTTGAAAGGGCAAAGTGACAAGGAGAAATATGAGAAATTAAGGATGTTGAAGGTACTTTACATAAAATTTTACCTACACATCTGATGAATGCCATTTCTATTTGTGTTAGACAATGTAGTAGTAAATTCCCGTCCCTTAGCTATAACTATAATTCGTTGTTTGATTGTAGGACTACATACAAGGCATCAGAGCAACATATACTAAGGATTTTGCTAGTAAGGATATCACAAGGCGGCAAATAGCAGTTGCCACCTATCTTATTGATAAACTAGCTCTCAGGGCAGGCAATGAGAAGGTATGGTGTATGTAATTGTTTTCATCATGTTTATGTTTATCTTTTACTCTCTTGTTCATGGAACATCCTCTTTCTTTTTCATCCCAATGTAGAAACATAGTTGAGAATCTGCCTCCCTTATCTTTTCACGAATGTTATTCAAACCCCATATGCTCGGATTGGCAGAAGCCGGAAGCTGGGCTTTGGTTAGCTCGATTCGGTCAGGCAAGCCGGGCACAACAAAGTACTCTGACTCCTCCAACGCTTTATATTCATCAAACACCATGTGGGTCCGTATATTATGTGACAAAAACAGAGAAAAACAACAGGTTCCATGGAAAACAAGCCTAGGAATATGAAATTTCTGAGCAACATCACTTGTCCATGGAAAAAACTAATCAGAGATTATGCCATTTGGGTTTGGTTTTAACTCACCAAACAATTGTTCCAATGGTGGTTGTAACATACTGGTTGCAGCATAGAACTTCTGAGCCATGTCAGGCGAAGGGACCTGGTGGAGGTTCTCACACCCTTCGGGCAGTCCAGCTTCGAGACATGGGAATCTGAGTTGGAGAAATTTGATTTGGAGTTCAGATTGTTGGGCTCGAGCAATGACTGTTGTGAATTGATTGGCGTTGAGTGGTGTGGTGACTATGGTGACAATAACACCTTGTTGTGCCAGTAATCTGGCTATGTCTATCATGGGGATCATGTGGCCATGGGCCATTAAAGGGAACAAAATGAAGTGAAGCTTTTGAGTTCGGGAAGCCATGGCCATTTAGCTTGAAGTAAATGGAGAGATTGATATGGGTTGCCTTCTCTTTTGTTTTATTTATGAAGTCTCTTATAGTCCAACTCAGAAGGTTGGCCTATTAGGTGTAGCTTGGGCCTTGGTGATGTGTTCCTCTAAATCTCATATTTAACTTATCAGCAGTGATTGGGAGCTCTAGTAGAGCTGCTCTAATAGCAGCTCTACTGAGCTGGCAACCAATTAAAAAAAAAAAAAAAAACAGAAAAAGACAAAATAGTGGCCAGAAGAAGACAATTTAATACTAAGTTTAGAGGTGCTCTTTTAGAGCTCTAAAGCAATTTTCAATTTTCAAGCCTTATGTATCAATTAAATGATACAAATAAGGCCTCGAATTCCACGTCTCGAATTTTCCTCGGTAATATTTATTTATTTGTTTATTTTTTTAAGGGTGGTTTATGTATAGGAATATGTCAAAAAAATTAGACATTTCACATCAATTCATCGTATAAAATTATATGAAATTAACAAAATTTAATCAACAGTCTAACTGATCAGTTAATTTTATCACTCAACCAGTCCAACCTAATTGATTGATCACTGCTGGTTAAAATTTATTAATTTCATATAATTTTGTATGATGAGTTGGTGCGGGATGTCTAATTTTTTGGCACACCCCTACATATGACTACCTTTAAAAAAAATAAAAATAAATAACACAACCCAATAAATAAAATAAAATAAAATAAAAAAATTGATTAGTCAATTTTATCATTCAATCAGTCTAACCCAACTCACTTGCAAAATATCTAATTTTTTATCACATCCCTATACATAAACTATCCTTGCAAGAAGAAAAGAAAAAAAAAAAAAAAACCAAACTAACTGTCTTAAATTAAAAGAAAAGGAAAAAAAAATGGGATTCGAGGCCTCAGATTCGAGGCCTCAGGCATTTCCCTAAAGTGTTATTATGAGAGATAATATTCATGTGTTGGGACTTTTCAAAGAATTCATATGTGTTGGACTTTTCAAATAATTTTTTTTATACTTGTTCTTAATACATTAAAATGTTATTATGAGGATAAGGCTTGGGGGTTGAGAGAAGTTAATAAATGCTAAGGTTTTTTTTTTATTTAAATCAAAAAAGACTTGGGGGTTATATATATATATATATATATATATATTAAGGAAAAAGGGATTTCTAACCCACAAGTCTTGTGGGAGTTCTAATATCCCAATCTTAATTTTCTATTTTTTTTATTTAAAAAAAAAATCATAATTTATTGACTTCTCCCATTCCACAAGCCTTTTTGACTTCTCTCATAGTTACAGCAACACTCATTTCAACTTCTTCCATACACTATAGTTACTGATAGGATTATTAAATTAATTTTATAAAAAATCTAAAAAAATAGTAATTAATCAATTTAAAAGGAAAGTTAATTAAATTATTCAAATATATAAATAGCTTTTATGGCTTGATTTACATATTTCAAAAGGAAAGTTGATTAATTCATTTAAAAACTTAAATTTGAAAGGAAAGTTAATTAATCTATTTAAAAATTTAAATAGCTTATATGCCTTGATTTATACATTTTAAAAGGAAAGTTAATTAATTCATTTACAAATTTAAGGAAAGTTAGTTATTCTGTTTAAAATTTTAAATAACTTTTATGCCTTGATTTACACATTTCAAAAAGAAAGTTAATTAATTTATTTAAAAATTTTAATTTAGAAATTGAGAAGGAAAGTTAACTAAAATATAAATTTGAATTTGAATTTTTATACTACTAAAATATAGGAATTAATCTACATCTTTCATAGATTTTTTTTTTTCTTAATGTTTAATAATTTTATATGCATCGATATTCCAATCTATATATCTATATTATAGCAAACAGACATTCCATTAAAAAAAAACTTCATTAAACCTCCAAAGATTAGTGATGTAGATAAAATCAAACCAAATGTGTAGGTCTTAGAGTTTTAAAGTAAAAAATTTACGTTAGAATTTGTTCAAATGTAATTATCTTAATATTTATAAATATTTTTTATTGATTGACAAAAAGCACCATATGTAACACCCCAACTTCCGAGCCGTTAAATACGCACAATAATACAACACAAGTAGGATAGACGACCAGAACATCTTAATATACATATATAACCAGAGTTAATATCACAGATAATTCGTTTATGTTCCATTACAGAATTACCAAAACATTGCCAAACCAAAAGTCAAAAAGGAAAAAAAAAACAACTAGTCTAAGTCTTCAAATGAACCACAGCTCCAACACTTCATCTCGTTTGCCTTCGAAATAACCTTCACCATTGTAAAATGCTTCATCACCTGGCATGACACGCCATGAGCTTGGAATGCCCAGTAAAAACACACACACACCCATATCTTCTATCAACCAATCAACCATACACAGAACAAATCGGAATACGTAACGTACTTACAATAAGGTTTTACAAATTAGTAGTTAGACTAGGCATCTAGAATCCCCCAAAGAGATCCTTCTACCCAACCACACAGTTTGAACACCGGACTATTCAGAACTCCCCCTTTTGCTGCTTTGCAGACCTTACCACCTATGCCCACCTCCTGGTTATTTACCAGTCAGTGACATTGATGGACCTCAAAAAGGACGGCCAAACAAGTGGGCCCGCTTACACCCAAATCGTGCCTAGGGCTCGCTTACACCCTGCACATACCATACCAAATCATGCCTAGGGCTCGCTTACACCCTGCACATAACATACCATACCAAAGGGCTCGCTTACGCCCTGAAACCACCGCATAGAGTCTGAATGCATCCATGTCAACCTAGGGGCTCGCTTAGACCGCTTGCGCAAGACTTAACTTATTTGGTTTTAATCCCATCATAATTCATGCCATTCATATGTATAAATTATTCCAACACTAATGCGAACGTCACCCATTGTCAACCCCTTATCATTTCTCATTTATTGGATCTTTTGCCGAGCAAGTTAGTCACATTCGGTAATTCGGTAATATAAAAGAGCATGAGACAAACATAAGAGAAGAAATATAGCCCATGATAAGCATACATAAGTATGGTAAGGCAAGCAAATAACATTAGGCATGCTTTGAAATACTTAGAGACAAATAACACAATAAAACACCATTTCCATCACAGTTCGGTTCTACAGGGCTAACAGGAATGCTTTGGTAAAAATACTTATAGGTCAAATTAGAGGCTGAAATTGCACAAAAAAAAAATATTCAATCTGTATAGTTTCAGTTCCAATTTTCAGAAGTTGCACAGCACCTCCAAAAATTCATCTACAAACTATATTCGAAAACCTGTCCAGATTTGTCACCCTTTGGGAAAACTAGCTTTTCTCTCAATCTACCTGACGGTTTTTACTCAAATAAAATCTGTTGGAAACAGGACTCAGAGTTCTAAAGTTTGACAGTAGAACCAACATGAGATGATTTTTGTAGAATTTTATAAATTTTCTAAAAGTGGACTGTTTTTGAGAGACTCTGGACCAGATTTTTTAACAAATTACCCAAGCCCTAAAAACACACAATTAGGAGCTAATAAAATTGTCACAAGCTCTAAATACATAAAATATCCTACAATAAATTCAGATTTGAGAATTAGATAGATTTGATATTTCTTTTAAATTAGAGAAGTTGCAGCAGTGCCTAATTTCACAAATTTGCAAGACAATGACACTATATCATACCCATACTTTCACACACACCAAAAACCCTATTGACCATTAATTTGTAACACAAGAGACATACTAGACAATAGAACGAGATGATGAAAGGATTGGAGAAATTAAGGGAGAGGTATGTTCTTACCTTCAAGAATTCCTTCTTTTTCTCTTCTTTTTTTTTTTCTTCTTCTTCTTACTTCTCTACTTCCCTTGAGCCAACTCTATAGCGATCCCAGGTTTACCCTTGTTGTACAGTAATCCGGACATGTGTCCGCGGATGTTGGTACTTGGTTATTATCGTGTTTACATTCCTTTTCTTCATATTTGAGTTATGGGATGTGTTAGGCAGGTTTGTTACAGGTTGGCTGTGTTCGGGAGCCTAGTGTTGCTGCCCATAATTTTGGACCTTCGCTCGAGCGAGGAGTTGGTCGCTCGAGCGAGAGTGGGTTCGTGTTTGGTGGGTCGAGCCAGAGTGGCTCGCTCGAGCGAGCGGTTGCACCTGGTTCTGGACCTGAGAGCTGTCTTTCTTGGCTCGAGCGAGCTTCCTTCGCTCGAGCGGTCTGGGTTTTTCTTCGCTCGATCGAGAACTTCCTTGGCTCGAGCAAGAGTTTCTGTGTCT